GCGCGGGGACCCCAGCCAGCCCGACCTGGCAGGGTACGTGGCGCAGGTACAGCAATGGGGGTTTGGGGGGGACAGACAGACACCCCTGCCTGTCCCCCCCTCCCCAGCACTACGCTAGCTGCAACAGGCACCTAGGGGTCTGCCAGCTGCTGCTGCAGTGGGGTGCCCACTGCAACGCCTGCATGCCCAGCGGTGCCACCCCCCTGCACTGCATCAGCTACTGCAGCCACCTTGCCGTCACCTGGCTCCTGCTAGCTCACGGTGCCAACCCGGCCACCGCCAACGAGGACAGCTGCACCAGCCTGCACAAGGTAGGTGGCAAGGCCGGGATGTCACCCCGCCATGCCGCGGCGTTGCCTGTGCCGGCGATGACCAATGTGTTGCCCACAGGCGGCTAAACAAGGCCACCGGGAGCTCTGCACCCTGCTCCTGTGGTACAGCCCAGCGCTGGCTGGTGTCTGCGATGCCAAGGGCCAGTGGCCCCGTGACGTGGCCGACCTGGTGGTGCAGGACCTGCTGGACACCTGAGGGGGATGCAGCAGGGGCGCCAGGCCCATCTCCGATGGATAAACAACACCCCTGGTACTCGGCGCCGGCTCTGCCTCTCTGTCCCTTGCTCCCCCTGGTGCCAGCATGGGCTGGGGGTTGCCCCTGAGTGGGGCCCTGGTAGTAGTGGGGGGGGGGCACCATGCCATTTTTTGGCTGCCAACCCCTCCATTGACTTTTATTTCCTCAAAAAAAAACCCTAAAAAAGGAGCAAATAGTGTTTTGTTGAACCAGGAAGCATCACAGGGGGTGTGGTAGAGGACCCTGTCCCTGCGGGGAGTGTGCCGTGACAGGGGAGCCAAAACCAGGCTCCCAGCCCTGGGCTTGTGCCGCAGCCACCAGCTCCCAGCCCGGAGCACCGAGGAGGCAGAAGGGCTTTGGCCCTGACTCTTCGCTTCCCCGGGGGATGGTTTGGCATCACCTGTGGCAGATGAAATAGCAGCCACTGAGCTCATGATGCCCGTGCCGGGGTGGCGGTAGAGCCTCCAAGCTGGGGAAATGCAGCAAGACACGCAGGAGAGAGAGAGACGCACGACTTGCATGCGGGGAGGAGGGAGCCTCATGGGGGGCACCCTGAATCTGGCGCCCTGGCGGCTGCTCTGCCTGGCCATGCCGTGGCCCGGCCTCAGCTGCTCACTGCTGAGAAGAACCGGAGATGGAGATCACCCCACCAGCACTCCAGAACCCCTCAGCCAGGCACGGCTACTGGGGCAGACATCACCATCCCACTGCCGTGCCGGCTCCCTACCTGGTGCGGTGTTCTGGTGGCTCAGGAGCATGGTCTGGCTGCTGGGGACGATTTTTGGTTCGATGCTGTTGGGCGAATCGGATGGATTTGGAGTCCTGGAGGCCACAAGGGCACCGAGGTACTGTGGCCACGTCACCTAGGCAGAGAGCGGGTCAGTGCCACACGGCACAGCCACAGTCTGGCAGCAGTGCTGGGGATGGCACCTGCGGGCAGCTCGGCATGGGGCACGGCCTTGCCAAAAAGCCAGGTGAGGCAGGGGCAGGCTCCCAACAGGACCCCGAGGGATGGATCCAGCCCCTGCCTTGACCAGCTGCAGGTTGGGGAGCACCTGCACGCTGTAGTTGGGGCAGTATGAGGAGCAGCTCGCACAGTTGGTGTAACCCGGCTGCCGATCCTGGGCGCTGTGGCACAACCAGGTGGACGGGTGCACCGCGGACGGCGTCGGAGAGCCAGAAGCTGCCAAAGAGCATCTCCCTTTGCACCCCAAAAAATGTCCGAGTGGGTCTGGTGCTGCCCCAGGGATGAGCCTGGCACTGCTAGCTGCTCTCACCTGCACGTAGCAGTGCCAGTGTGGAGACACGGTAGTAGGCGAAGGCTCCATTTTCAAACTTCAGTCCCTCCTTCCCGATCATCTCCATGTGGTCCTGCAGAGAGCGGGCAGCTTGGGGCAGGCAGAAGGGAGGGCTGCCTGTAGTCTGAGGGGCACGGGAGGGCCTGTGGCACCAGCACAGCTGCCCCTCAATGCACCCTGAAAGGGGGAGAGAGTACCCAGCACCACGCAGATGTCATGGCAGGACCCTGGAGGGGACACACACGGGGCTGATAGGCCACGGCTGGGCCGCTGCACACCTGGTGGCACATGGTGCCATCCCCGCGCCAACAGTGCTGTACCTGCAGGATGAGGATGAAGTGGCTGAAGGGATGGTGGTGGCAGTACAGGGAGCGCTCCAGGGCGAAGTGGTTGTTCTCGTTGAACTTCAGCTCCTGAATGACACTGTGACAGCTCAGCAAGTGCAGCAGGGCCTTCTCGGAGATGCAGGCAGGCCTGAAGAGCTCCAGCTCTGTGGGGAGAGCAGCCAGCGTCAGCCCAGTACCACCGAACAACCCCCTGTCGCCATGCCCAGGGACCCTCCGAGCAGCCTGGTGGGCAGGGTGAAGGCAGCCCACTCCTGCCTGCTCTCACCTGGTGCCAGGAAGCGCTGCACAGTCAGCAGGAGCTGCAGGGCGAGCTTCGCCGTGGCGGCACTGTCAGCCCTCCTCAACAGGGAGAAATCCTCCCTGCAGTGCTGCTGCAGGGGCCCGGTTGCTGGCACGTCCGGATCCCACCTGCAGTGGAAGAAAAAGGGGCAGGAGCACACGCTCAGGGATGCCACGCTCAGGGGTGCGTGGCTGCGACACCCCCTTCCCCGTCCCAGTTGCCTGACGCAGGCTGTGCTCATCTGACACACCCAGGATCTTGATCTCCTCGATGAAGTCCTCCAGCATCACCAGCCCCGGCGCCTCGTAGCAGGGGTCTCTTTCGCCTTCGTTGTTCACCTGCTGCACGGCGGCCAGCTGGGGCTTCCCTGCAGGCGGGCGCGGAGGAGCTGGGTGGCGGCGTCGGGAGCGTTCACCTCTCCTGAACTCCTGGAGGACGGCGTCGAGCTTGGTGTCGCTGAAGACGAAGCGGACGGGGCGCCCGCAGAAGCGGGTGAGGGGGCTGAGGTCCCCCAGGCTCCACCAACGCCAGGTCACGGTGGAGCGCCTCTACCGGGTTAGAGCGTTCGCCTTCGCAAACGGGCACTTGGACCCAGCCGCTGCCCAGGATGGCAGCCATGGCGGCCAAGTCCCTCACGGGGCCG